AGCAGGAGGGTTGGACTAGATGACCCACAGAGGTCCCTTCCAACCCCTAACATTCTGTGATTCTGTAATCAATGATTACAGATTCTCTTAAGCCCTAGAAAATCTGAGTAAGATTCATCACTACCATGCCTTGGCTACAGCAAAAAAGCCAAAGTTTTAAATTCTTCCAAGGAGAACTGTAACAACAGAACTGAAGCAAAAGCAATACATTAATTCAGACATAAAGAATACTTGAAACCTTTTTGGCTTCAGGGGATGAGTACAGAAAAATTAATATATGGGATTTGTGTTTCAGATCTAGTTACTTCTGAGTCTACTATCTGAACTCGTAATCTGTGCAAGTCTGGAAAAGTATTACCAGACTCACGATAAACAAGACAGCTATGGGAGCATATACTCAAAAATCACACTGACATGTGGATTTAGCCTTCTCTACAGGGTTTTTTTATGTTATTGAATAACGGCAGGCAGGAAGAGAAATTTGAACGTAATTCCAAGAAAATCCTTAAAAACAAACAAAAGAAAAGAAACCAAACTAGCCCGCTTTACACCGACCTCTACAGAGAATGGCTTGAATTATAATACTGCATTCAGATGGGGGTTCTTCTTTGTTTGGTGTTCTTTTTCTACCAACCTTCCTTATATATTACACAATTAATATAAGACTTCTATAAAGGCAACTGATACTACCGGAAGCAGACGACTGTTGCTTGTTAACGACATCATTTCTGAGAAGTCATTTACAGTTCTGCATGCCTACAGACATACCAAGAGGTCTTACTTGCACAAAATGTAAAGAATCAATTCATTTGAAAACTCTTTCCTAATTGCTTATTCTTTGGTTTAAAAAAAAAAAAAGAGCAAAAAAACAAACAAAAACAAAACAAAAGAATAGCCACCCCGAACTACCAAACCCCAAACCCTAAATCGCCTTAAAAAGGGGGAGAAACAAAAGCAAGGTGGGGAGGGGAATCGCATTTGTCAAATATATCAAACTCCCACTTCCCCATAATGACATCAAAGCACTTTTTTTTCCATTTTATGAGCTTTTTGAGGAGAAAATAATTTCTATTTAAAGTTTGAGGCTTCTCAGACAAGTTTCTGTATTTTTTCTTCTGAAAATTCAATTATAACTCTTGTATTTTTTTTTCTTTTTACTTTAGCTTCTAATTTTTTTCCTCTGATAAACTACCTTGCATTTAGTTCTCCTGAACTAAAAGTTTCTCTGAAAACATATTCCATATTTGGTAACATTCAAGACTTTCTCTTAGTAACAGTGCCCTCCCTCCCTCTCCCACTGTCCAGATCCAAACTTGCACACACACAATGCAAACTTGTTTTCATTCTAGTTTCTCATTTAAGCAAAGCAAAGCGCTGAAGCATTGATATCCAGGACTACAGAGACACTAAAAAAATGAAAACAAGAGCAGTGACCTCTTTCAGAACCAGAAGGAAGTAAGAAAAGAAGGGGAGATAAACAAATGTTCTGGGGTTCTAAAATGGCTATGAATGCACTATATTGCATTTCTGATCTATTCCAGAGAAGTATTATCTCTTCACCTTTGCTTATAGAACTGCCAATGGAAGTGGTGGTTCTCTCTTCTGCTGCCACACTCCTCCACCCCACATTACGCTAGATCCAGCAACTGTGCAGCCACATGACTGATCAGTAAGCTGCTCCAAGAGAAAATGACACTTTTTGGCACTACAGTTTAATGCTGGATTAGCTCATTCAGCAAGTGTATGAGCACTCCAACACAGAGAGTGGAGCAGAAACATGGGGGGGGGGGGGGGGGGGGGAGGTGTGTGTGTGGGAGGTTTGTTTTTTTTGGGGTCTTTGTACCCATTCTGGCAACAGCTGCCACCACAGCATGCTAGATGTACCTTAAATTGCACCCTGAATCCCAATCTTTTACTGCTAGATTGAAAGGAAAGAGTCTGCTACTAATAGCAGCTCAGCACATAAATACAGAAAAGTTGATCAGGCACATTAAAGCAGTAAACCAGGCAACTAACTTGGAAAGCCCAACAACACTCTGATGTCAAACCAATTTCTCCACATCTCCAAAGAAAGCAGCAAAAACACACGCACGGAGGCTGTGGGGGAAGCCAGACCTCTGAAGTGAGACCTCCGAGGGAACTCAATACACATTCACAATACAGAAGCATTAATTGCAACAGAAGGCATTCTCCTACGTGTAATTTAATGAAAAGCCTTTCTATGTAGCATCATCACAAACTTGACTAAAGAACAACCACGCTCACTTTGCACTGACATTCTGAGATTCTACCGCGGTGATCTCACACTGAAGGAGCAAAGTGAAGTTTCCTGGTTTATCAGTCTAAATGAGAACACAGCAAAATTCTGTTTTCTTGAATCCATACTATCTTATGAAACTGGCACAGCATACTTCCCTGTAATGCCCAGACTTGCAAAGGTCTATGTGTGAAAAAGCTGATGTCATACAGGAGTTTAGCTGTTTACCTTTGCTTGGTAGTTGTGATTCCTTACTTTGAAGGCAGCTGTACAAGTGTAATTTTTCATCCCATCACCCACCAACAATTTAGTGTACAGACATCTGAAAGCTGCCTCTTGTTTGATGGAATTATTCTCAAATACCCAAGGTTTGTGAGTATATGTAACATCACTACAGTCTAATGCATGCCAACAGTTTATTCCTCTATATCAAAACGGATTCTCATTTCAAGTGTTCTCCCCTTGTAAACAGGAAATGAGTCCAAATATAAATGATAGATTTCTCCTTTGAAAGGGCATCACTTACCAGTAACTACCATGCTGCTCATGTTAGAGTTCGGGCTATTGAGTACACTGCCTGAAAGAAGTTCGTCAGATCCTCTCTAAAAAGAAAGAGACAGTAAGAGATTTTTTTTCCTCTATTTTGTGATTTTTTTTTTTAAAGATGATATTCATAATGTCAGTTTGACAGGGAAAACCTTTAGAAGAACTTAGGCAAGCCTAACCAAACCTATTCAGATTTGGCAGACTTCCTCTTTTCATATAAGTGCAACTTGAAATCTAAGTAAAGCAGTCTATTTACATGGCAATCTTTGAAATGAGAGCAGCTCAAGCACAGCTGTTTCACCCACCACTGAAATGTAGCCACCTTCAGACACAATGAGAAAACTGCTGAACAATCATTCTGTCCAGCATTTCAAATTAAAATATTATATTTAGTCTATTTCAATAACATTTAAATTAACTTATTTTAATATATGTATATGTTGAATTATTATATCTAGATGAAAGTACAAGGGAAATCTATACAAACAGAAATAACGGAGCTTAGCTCAATTCTAACACCCCTATTTAAAAAGGAAAAAAAAAAGACTTGTATTCATAGGAAATGATCAATTTTTATTTTGGGGACATCCATTTGTCCTGCAAAACACAATTTAGGGCAGGGAATTACATCTTCATTGTAATTATTAAAACATGACAAATATCAATTAAATGGTCTTTTTGAAAATTACTTGAAAGTGGGCTGCAAAAATCAGAGGATGGTTTATACTGAAAATAACAAGATAATCTTTTCCTCTCAAATTATTTGCAAGATGGGACTGACACAGCTGAAGAGGCTGCTGCTTCTTCTCAGACCTTTTTTTTTTTTCTTCTTTTACCCCCCCAACCCCCTCCATCCCTCAAGAATTCATCTCTCAAAGAGCCCTCAAAATATTTAGGTGAATATTTAAAAGGGAATAAACCTGACATAAAGATTAACTTCTTATTGGTTCTTTCCCCACTTCAAAAGTATTTCCCCAGTACCCTTAACTCTAATTTAGGTCACTGCTAAAATGGAAACGAGGAAAGAAAACAGTTACTATCCACCTTTACAAAAATAAATGTTTTTAATTCTGTTGTGGACACTACAGTAGAATCTCAAGAATAGTTAGTAAACGTGTTTTACAGGGCACCTCAATACTGCATACTGAATTAACCTGAGGATATCACCTTCCTAGGCAGCATAGTTGCAAGATGCATGAAATTAAACCTTTACCAGTTTATCACAGTGCACTGTACATGCGTCCATACACAGAACAGGACGTTAAAGTCTGTTTAATCCACACCTGAAATCCAGAAGCTCTTTAAAAAAGTATCTATGTGTATGCACACATAGAACCCTTGAACTTTACTTAGTTTGCAACATCAGCTCTGAAGAGTCTTTGTACAGTTTATTGAATACTCTAAGCTCTTCAGGGTACATAGCAATCAGCAAAGCTGTGCCTACCAAATCAACAACAAATTTCCTTTGAGTAATGTCTAGTACCAAGATTAGGTAGGACCATGAGAAGGACCACATCTTATCTTTTTCAATGTAAGAGAAGATCTCTAATCAGATATAACCAAGGAAAACTTTGACAAAACTAAGAAATAAATTACAGAAGTTATGGAAACTTTCTGTTACTCAAACTACATTGCTTTCTACTGTAGATACAACACACTAACCCAGGCACTCAGTATAACTTGAAACATAAACATTTGTTCTTTCTCTTTAATGTTCTATTTTTCTAACGTAATATTTACATGGGTAGAATATTGCAAAGTTCAAGATTACTAGCAGTATTAGCTCACTCAGTGATAACTACAGTTATTTCTGCTCGCAGCTATGCACCTAGCCTTGTCTGGTAGCCCTTGTCTAGAGCCTGGACAGCTCGAGTGAACAGGCGGAAGCAGCAGCAGAGACTGAATCAGTTCGTAGTTAAGCATTTTAGCGTAATTCCTAAGGAGCAACTTTTTTTCCTTACTATGCCAGGCATTAATTTGAAATAGTACAGCAGTTACTATGCAAACAGTTGAAGCAGTACCAAATCAATGTTCTTCCCAAAACGTGCATGAACTTTACAGTTCTGAACTATCTCAAATTTGAGTTGTGTTCAGCTTCAAAAACTTACTTACATCAGCAACTGCTGACTAGCAGAACACAAGAGTGATTACATAAACTTCTGGTTCCTAGCAAACCGGGCTTTCAAAAAGCTGTTAATTTCTTAATCCACAGTAGAAAAAAAACCAAAAGAAGCACAAATTACTCAATAGAGTGCATATTCAGTTGCTGTATTTGTGTTTCAGAAACAGTTAAAAGAGTTTTCATTTTGAAACATACCATTTTGCATTTCATGAATACATTCAGAGTCAATCACAAGATTTTGTCATTACACTTGAAAAAGTTTTAGCAGTTTTGTTTCAGAAGAACAAGTAAATGTGAATTCCTTATACTGTCATTTATCATAAATTCTACACTTATTTTATTCTCATAAATCAGTGTTCACAAGTCTGATTCACAGACATACAGGTCCACATGTGGAATGCTCTTCCAGTTCACCATGAAGTCACAAACATAGAGCAAACCTCTGCTAACTCACTCCCATACACACTTGCCAAGCTTTTGGTAAAAGACAAAGACATCTCTTACTCTGTGAGTTGCCCTCTTATTAGACATCCACGGTTATTTTTCCTTATCGGTTCTTAAGCAACCCAGACACCTCTGCACTTCATTCAGTATGTAACTTTAACACCAGCTATGCAGCAAAAGACACATGATGTACTTGGACACAGAGTGGTTAAATTACAAAATCAAAAGCAGTAACTGCCTGGTAATTGTCATTTACTTCAAAAGGGTTATCTTAAGATGACAGCTGTTTAGTAAAGCAATTTAACACAAGCATCTCAAGTAAGCCAATGCATACTCTTAGACTGGCACTATGTGACACATGCACCTCCTGAATTACAGCATAGACAAAAATACTTACTTTACTTACATTTATTCAGCAGAGATAAGGCTTTATTCATGTGGTTTGGGGTGCTTGGCTTTGTTTTTATGTGCCTCTTCTTTTAAAGGGTGCTAAGCCATAAAGGACCAGCATCTTGCTCTTCATCACTCAGCTATCTCACACACGAATTTCAGAATTATAACCCATTTCCCAGGCATCTTGAACATTTGCTAGCCTTATTCTCAAGCACGTCAGTTCTGCTAGTCAAATCATGCAAAGCAAAGAAACCTTAAACTAATTTAGGTAAATTCTATCCAACGTTTTGGAGATAAGGAAATTAAACTCAGATCTCTGAAGAATAGAAAATCGGATCCAATGAGGAATAGAAGATCCAAGAACAATGTTCACTTAACTCTTTTCCCCATGTGTGCAAACTGCTATGTTCTAAAGAATCAAAGCAAATTTGAGATTCTGTAACAAGACGAAAGATCACAAACACACAAATCACAGAAATGTCCAAAACTAAGTTAAAACAATGAACAAAACAAATCACAATTAATTTATTTTGTCTTAGACCATAAAGGAAAGTTCCTATAATAGCAACACGATAGAGACAAACTGAATACCCGTTTTAGCAGGAGGGAAGGAGATCATAAAGGACAAAAGAAGTACAAACTGCTATGGTACTACTTCTTACAGCTAGTCCTCAACACAAGTTTTCAATGCCATATTTATATTCCTGCGAATGTCAAGAAAAACATTAATCTTCCATGAAAGCTAAACCACCAGCTATTCAGATCAGAGATATCTACAACATTTCTTCATCAAAACAGCACCTGCCATAATACTATCACACCAAATAAATAAGGGAGTTGCCAAACTAACTTCTTGCAGTGAGTGGACCTCAAATTCATTGCAGAGTCAATACTGTCCTTTCAATGAAGCCCATGTTATCACATCCTTGCCCCCACAAGAGCACTTCCACCCGTGGTGTGAAAACAGCATGCTAATGTATGGCTTCAACCAATGGAATTATGTAAAACTGACATTTAGGATCATTTTCAGAAAAAGATGAAAAATATACCAACTTCAAACTTTGAATACATATTTCAGAGAAACTTACAAATTATAAACACAAAAAATATTTTATATACTGTAAATTGAAGATATCACTTTGATATTTCAGTTAATTTCTGTAAGTTAATACAGTTATTGTATAAACTCTGTCTCTTCTACAATTTACAAAATCAATTATACAAAGAGAAAGAAAAAGTCCCTAGCTTAGCAAACTAATCTAGCCCCTTGCTTTAGCAATCATATCTAACTCAGAATCCCTCATACATAAATTGGATTTACATAGCAGGATTTCAGACACACACACACCCCCCCCCCCATTACAGTCATAGTATCCTTCCAGGCTAATAAAAAATATACTATTTAGAAGTCTTTGCCAACTATTTTCCTCACATTCCATATAGGGCTTTAAATATTTCAAAAATTCTCCAGATTTTATTAATTCCAAAGAGAAAAACGTCCAAAGAATAACAACTTTGGCTTGAGAGTTACCAAAGAGGTTTAGTCTTTCAAGCAAAGTGCTTTTTGACAGTTCTTTATGGCAGAGAAACATTATTATCTCTTTTCCTAATAATTCGGGGCTATGAAGACTTTGATCAGAAGTTATGGCTGAACCTAACATACCAAACAGTGTATCACAGAAGGCTTACTAGAAGCCCCTGTAGACACACTACAGTACTACAAGAACACTAAACCAATACCACTAGAAACAGTAAACAAGCGACAAAACTGCACTTCCATTAAAAAGTCAACAGCATCATCTACAATAATTTTTTAAATTTCCACTAGAAAAGATAAAGAATACACTCAAAGATATCGAAAAATATATTTTCTGATAAATCCCCTCATTTGTGGAATTCAAATTTGCTGGTATTACAAAGCTCTCAAGAACAGGATGCTTTTGCCCCCACCTCTTCCCTCTCTCCCCCCCTCCTCCCCCAGATGAAAAAAGAAAAGGAGAACTTTAGCTGCACTGTGCATTTACCACAGTCATTCTCAGCCTACAGGCATGAATTTCCCGAGGGGTATGACAAGCCAGGAGACAGATCTCATGATTT